AAGACAGAATCACCATCAATAGCCCTGGCCTAATCCTGCCAGGCCAGACATGCTGCCTCCCTCCAGCCCATTCTCCAACCGTTCCTCCCAAAGCACCTACCACCTCTCTCCTGGGTTCGATAATTCGCTGCAGTGGCCACGCAGAACTCACAGATTACGGGGTTTATTAGGGAAGCACCAGGGTACAATTCAAGTTCAGGAAAAACGTTCTGTCTCTCTCCCAGCCCTTTTATGCATAGAAATGTACACTATATACTAAGACAAACATTTGACTGACATTAGATATGAACTACACCTAACTCTTCTGACTTAGGTACAAATTTGATTTACAGACAGATTGAGATATGGAATTTGTTCATAATCTGGGCACAGCCTGTAAATGTATTACATTAAAAATAAATGATAACAATACAAAGGAATAATATTCCTCAAATTTTAATAGTTGAATTCCTTTCAAGTAAATAAATGCTCATGAATACCGCTAGGAATTTAAGTATTTTTTTGCCATTTTGTGTAGAATATGATAAAAGCAGCATAGAATTATCTTTTAATATCTGCATATTATCAAATTATGAGGTTTACATTAATAAAATAATGATGATCTTCATTTTAACTTGTCCTCACAACTATGAACTTTATTTTAAATCAATAATAAAACAACAAGCTTGAGTTTGAAACCCAAACCAAACCAGCTGCCCCTGAGTCACTTCTGACTCTTGGTCACACCATATGGACAGAGTAGAACTGCACTCCATAAGGGATTCAAGACTATGGACTTTTGGAAGCACATTGCCAGGCCTTTCTTCTGAGATGCCTCAGTAGATTTGAACAACCAGACTTTTGGTTATTACTAAGCACTAAACCATTTATACTACCCAGGGACTGCAAGTTTGCAACAAGTAAGTTTTAAAATAATAGTTTATATTTTCTTTGGGACCAAGTATGTATTAAAATACAGATAGAATTTTAATTATGATGTAGCACTTACTAGGTAAAAGTGCTCTCATCCTCTAATAGAGTTTTTATATTTTATAATTTTAAAGTCAACTGGATTATTTTTATAAATTTTAATTGTTATATTTAATTTCAAACACATGTACAGAGACTGATATAACACCCATGTCCCCACACCCACATTTAATTTTTTGCTTTGCTTATTTTCTTTCTATGCAAACTACATCCTTTAGAATTTTCCCAGGTGAAGATTTATAGGCAGTCAACTCTCTCAATGCATTTGTCTAAAATATCTTTATTTTACTATTAAGCATAAAACATAATTTCATCTGATATAAAATTCTGGCTGACAGTTACATTATTTCCTTGAGTATAATAAACAGTTATTTTGTGCACCATTTGGAAAATTAAAAATATGCTACCAGTTAAACTATGCACAATATGAAATGGCATCAGTTTTTCAGATGCACCTCAATTTCAGAGATATGAAAATGTGAAAAAATGTGCATTTTAGAAATCAACAAAATATCACTCTTTCTTTGTTCATTAAAGATATTTTGCTGTTTTCTGTCTTTTGTGTTACTATTGAGAAGTCAGCTGTAAGTTATATTGCCGTTTTTTTTTAATGTATCTTTTCTGTTAGCTGCTTTTAAGATTTCTTTGGTGTTCTGTAACTTCATTATTAGTCTGTAGGTAAGGGATTCTTTTTGGGATTTGCTAAGGTGCTTGGATTATTATATTTAAAATATTTTGGAATATTCTCATATCATTTCTTCAGATATTGCCTTGCCCCATTCTTTACATTGTTCCCTTTTTGGATTCCAAGTAAGACATCTATTAGACTTACTTTATTCTCTGTGTCTCTAATCTCTCCTTCATATTTACTACTAATTTTCTTTATTTGCTGTCTTCTTGATCATTTAGGTTTAGATAATTCAGGTTTATCTTTAAGTTCACTCATTTTTCAGCAGGATCTAGTGCTTTTAATGTGTTCTTTGAAATTTTAAAAGTAAATCATTATAGTTTTATTTCTAGATTTGTATTTATTTTTTCCCAATATGTTTAGTTATTCTTTGTAGTCTTTTGTGGCTTGTATTTTCAAAGTTCTTTGTCTTTTTTTTTACATTTAAATGTAGTTATTTTGTGTTCTCTTCTGCAAGTTCTTGTTCCTTATCTATTTTTGATGCATTTTATTGAAATATAATTTATATACAGTGAAATACACAAAACTAAAATGACATAGTCAATGCATTTTTTTTTTTTTTTTGGAGTGTTCCCTCCCCTCCCCTCCCACCCCTGGCAACCAAGAAAGAAAGTTTCCCTCCATATATAAACCTTTCCTTGACCTTCCACAACAATGTGCTAATACTATATTTGTCCTACTGTGACTGACTTATTTCACTCAGTACAATGTCCTCCAAGTCCATCCATGCCATTCGGCACTTTGCAGACTCCGCATCACTCCTCAGGGCTGCATAGCATGCATTGTGTGCATGCACCACAGCTTGGTCATCCACTCCTCTGTTGATGGGCACGTAGGTTGCCTCCAACCTCTTGCCACTGCAAACAGTGCTGCGATGAACATGGGTGTACACATATCTATTCCTGTCCTGGCTCTCACCTCTCTAGGATATATACCTAGTAATGGGATTGCTGGGTCAAATGATAGCTCCAATTCCAGCTTTCTAAGCAATCACCATACTGCTTTCCACAGTGTTTGTATCACTTCACAGTCCCACCAACACTGTATGAGAGTCCCAATCTCTCCACATCCTCACCAGCATTTGTTATTTTCTTTCTCATTGAACCTTGCCATCTGTGCTGGGGTAAGACGGTATATCTCATTGTTGTTTTGATTTACATCTCTCTGATAGCCAATGATCATAAGCATCTCTTCATACATTTGCTGGCCGCCTAAATATTCTCCTTGGTGAACGGTCTATTCATGTCTCCTGACCATTTTTCAATTGGATGGTTAATCCCTTTGCTGTTGAGGTGTTGGAGTTTTCTATAAATCTTAGAGATAAGTCCCTTGCCAGATATATAATTATCGACACATATGAATTTGTTGCTGTCATTTTGTTATGTGCTTTTTCATGGTGTTGATTTCTTTGTTCCATATAATTTTCTGTGCTGAGCTCATTTTGTTTATGAATCATGTTATCACTTCCTTTGTTGCTATTGTTTTAGTATTTGCTAAATATTTGTGCTGGTCCTCTTTTTTATTTTGATGTGAAGGTTTATCATTTTTCTTTGAGTTTACCCTGAGATTTATAGTTTTCTTCCCAAGTTTAAAACTGTCTATTCTATCTTGTAGTTGTCTTGACGTCCCTACCATTTAGCAGTTCTGTAACTACACAGTCTCATCAGAGTCCATACTCACTGTTTATGTTCAGATTTTTCCACTACTTGGTGCCTAATCCACTTCTGTATACTTCCTTTCAAAGCTCAGGGCTCCAGGATTATCTTCTGTATCTCTGTCAATTGGTTTCTCTTTTCATTGTTGAAGAGGGTCTGAGTAACTTGTCTGACTATTCCTCCATCTTACCAGAAGTCCTTGTTCTTTATATTTTTATAGGCAAAAAAATTAATTCTAAAACCTAATAACTTTAGAAATATATATTTTGTACCTTTAGTATGTTCCGTACCAGTTGATATATTTACATATATATATATATATTTTTTTTAATCATATGGACTTTGTACTGAAAGTTACACTAGTTACTAATTACTAATTTAGAACATTGTACACCTTTTTGACAATATGGTGAGATACTGTAATACAGATATATACCCCAGGCACTTTTACACTCACTTTAGGTATTGCAGAAAAACAAAACTGATGTTGATCTACTGAGTTCAAGTATTTAAAAAAAAAAAAAAATTGAATTTGAATTTGAATATACAATGCATAGGAATTGATTTGCAACTAGAAATAAAATAAATACTGGGAAATCTTTAATCAATGATTGTCTAATAGAGCAAAATTCTCAAAGCTTTTATTAGATGTGAAGTAACATTTCCCTAGATATTGTATGTCTGTTTTCTTGATTCCTATCCTCTCAGAAATTATATATATTTAGATGGGCTACATTTTCTTGGGAACTCTGGTGGTGTAGTGAATAAGGTATGTTCCTGCTGACCAGAAAGTCAGTGGTTCGAACCCACCAGCTGCTCTGTGGGAGGAAGATGGAGCAGTCTACTTCCATAAAGATTTACAGCCTTGGAAACCCAATGGGGGTCACTATGTAAGTAATAATTCTTAGAAAAAGAATAAAATCGCCATTTAGATTATCTGTTACTTGATATTTTCCTGGAAGCTGTTGTGTTTGATAGGAAAACACCTCAAAATGAGATTTTTAAACTTCCCTCCTATTTAGAATTGCTCGATTATGTTTTGTGCAAACTTGGCTTTAATCTGGAGGGCTGTTCAAGAACATGTGTGGGTAATTAATTTGCAATTTCCCTTTGCAGGCTTGTTTTGACCCACCTTTTGAAGTGGTTCCTACCAAGAACCCAATCAGATACAACAAAAGGGCAGCTGATCCAGTTCATCCTGACCTTGCTGGTTTGTTGATGAAAAACAAGAATTTTTTAGCTGAGGTACATCGATTATCTGAAAATAACCACTATGAGAAATTATATCCTTTGTAAAAGAAGGGAGAAAAACATCTTGATAAAAGGCTCAAAGTATTGTCTTAACTCAGTTTTGCTTTTTTCTCAGTATTGAATTCTCTTATCACTGAGGAGCACTGATTTAGACCTACACCTGTCTTTTGCCAGAGAACCCTCTTTAAAGATGGAGCATAGATAAGTGCTTTTGAATTGACTACCAAATGCTAGAGGGTTAGAACATTGCTATGGACTGTCATACTCACAATTTTTGTGCTAACAGTAATCAGTTACATGTATTAAGCAATTTTAGTCGGGAGAATGAATTCTCATTTTCAGTATACCACCAGTATATCCAGTGGTTTTATTTAGTATTTGATGTAACATCTAAGCAACATCACTAAGTAACAAAGAAAGATACTAACATTTGTAGGAAGTGCCTTGACTTTTATTCCCTGTGATGAAGACTATAGAGTGCCTGTAGAAATTCCTTAGTTGAGCCCTGGCTTTGGTTGCAAAAGACAGTCTCATAGGTAAACAAGGCCAGAAGCTGAAAGGCCACTGTCATCCTTAAGAGCACTATGATGTGACTAGTTATGCCTCTATTGCTTCTATTAAGAAAAAGAAAACCAAACCAAACTCACTGCCATTGAGTCAATTCCGACTTATAGTGACCCCCTTTGGGTTTCCAAGGTGGTTAAGTCTTTACAGAAGTAGATTGCCCATCTTCCTTTTGCAGAGTGGCTGGTGGTTTGAACTGCCAACCTTCAGGTAAGCAGTTAGGCGTAGCCTTAGGCATTATGCCACCAGAGCTCCTTCTATGGTTACCTGTAAATAAATTTCTCTGGATATTTACACATATAGATCACTCACCAGCCCATTGCATAAGTAACTCTGTTAGCTGCCATTGAGTTGACTTTGACTCATGGAAACAGTGTACAAAAGAACAGAACGTTAGCCAGTCCTGCCTCATCCTCACAATTGACAGTCGGTTTGAGTCTATCCTTGTGATCATCTTGCCAATCCATTTCACTGAATATCTGCTATGTCCTTGTTGGCCCTCTATTTTACCAAACACGATGTCTTCCTCTAGCAATTGAACCCTACCTTTGAAATATCCAAAGCATGCAAGCAATTCAGTATTCTGTTGTGATCCATAAGGTGTTCTTTGGTAATTTTCAGAAGTAGATCCCCAGGCCCTTCTTCCTAGTCTCTCTTAGTCTGGACCCTGCTGGTATTTGAAATACCAATGGCATAGATTCAAGCATCATAAGAACATGCAAGCCAGTACAATAAGAAAAACTGACAAATGGGTGGTGGAAGTAGCTTTCTAGGGTAGCCTCATTCTCCTGGGTTCCTTTTATGCCCAAGACTTTATTTAAAAAAAAAATCTTAGCCTGATTCCTCTCTTTATTTAAATAGATATAAATTTAGATATAGATAAGTATAAACCCACTGCTGTTGAGTTAATTCCGACTCATAGCAACCCTGTAGGACAGAGTTCAACTGCCCTATAGGGTTTCCAGAGCTGTGAATCTTTAAAGAAGGAGACTGCCACATCTTTCTTTCATGGATCGGTTGGTGGATTGGAACCACTGACCTTTCGGTTAGCAGTTGAGTACTTAATCAGTGCACTACCAAGTTTCCTGAATAGATAAATAGATAACTTACACTTTTATCTTATCTAATGCTTTCTCTTTTTAACATAGAGAGATGAATGGAACTTAAATTTTAATAGAATTTATATAGCCACAGTAAATCTTAAAATAACTTGGAGAGATTTGTTGTATTTATTTTTCTTTCTGAATAATGTGATGCCAATCCTTGAAACTCTGGCGATTTTTATTATGGTAGCATCTTTTTTCTTCTTCCCTATAGTAAAACTTACTATTAATACTTAAGAAATTTGGAAATTTTTATAATTCAGATTTGGTTTAAAATTTATGTCTGCATAATTAATAAGAAACTTTAACACAAACTGTCAAAAAAATTGTAATTACCTTACTTAAAAAATTATGCAGCCTATCTTCAAGAATTTCAAAACACTTTTTGAAAGCAACTCTATATGCACATAAATCAAATACTATTTATAAATATTTTTATTGACTAGTCAAAGCAAGTATTTGAAAGGCTCTACAAGGTCACATTTTGACTTGGTTTTAAATATTATATGTATTAAAAAGTATTCCTTTGTCCATATTGGTGTTTTCTGCATTTAATAGAAATTAGTGACATTTAATGCATGATTTCCTGGTGGTAAGTTCTTTCTTTTTTTTTAATGTAATTGTTTCAGAAGGATGCCTGAGCTTCAGCATGAGTCTTTACCTATTCCAATAACCTGTCATTTAATTTCAGGGATACAGTTGTCTTGATAAGGCAATTTTTCTTTTCATTACATGCATTTAAATTTTTTTGTTATAATTTGTGTCTTTTGTGGGACATACAGAAATTATTATCATGTATTTCTGCCCAATAATGGAGCACAGCTGCAAGAGAGTTATTTGAGAAAAGCCAGATACGTCGTTGTTGTTGTTATGTGCCCTCGAGTCGGACCTGACTCTTAGCAACCCCTCCTTGGGTTTCCGAGGCAGTATCACTACGGAAGTAGATTGCCCAATCTTCCTTCCAAGGAGTGGCTGGTGAGTTTGAACCGCCAGCTTTCTGGTTAGCAGTCAAGTGCCTTAGGCACTACGCTACCAGAGCCAGATATAGGAGGGATAAATATTACACATCCACTTGGTGATTGTGTTGCCTTAATTAAGGCAATATGATATTGAGTTAAATGTGCCAGGCTGTTGTAGTAGAAATGAGTTAAAACAACTTGGAAAAACTGTCACTGATAAAGTATACTAAGGCTCAGTGTCTTAAATTATTTCTAAATTGTAATTTGGGTGAAAGTTTACAGAGCAAATTCGTTTTTCATTCAACAGTTCATGCACATTTTGTTTTGTGACGTTGAGTGCAACCTCCACAATATAACAATTCTCTTGCCACTTCCTCCTTGTGGTTACGTTTTCCCAATGTTGTTCTTTCCTATGCACTCCTGCCCTCTGATCTGTCTTCCTGCCCGAAGGCTGCCCTTTTGATTTCCAATAGTTGGGCAATCCTACTTCCGTAGTGATACTGCCTCGGAAACCCAAGGAGGGGTCGCTATGAGTCGGGTTTGACTCGACGGCACATAACAACAACAACAACAGTTGATTATTCTAAGGAGCTTAGGAGCTCTGGTAGCATAGTGGCTAAGGCACTTGACTGCTAACCAGAAGGCTGGCGGTTCAAACCCACCAGCCGCTCCTTGGAAGGAAGGTTGGGCAATCCTACTTCCATAGTGATACTGCCTCGGAAACCCAAGGAGGGGTCGCTATGAGTCGGGGCTGACTTGATGGCAAACAACAACAACAACAATATACCTACCTGGCGTAATTGTTCACCTCATATGCCTGTCTATTGTTTGGCTGGAACTTAAGCCATGGGAGTAAGTTTAATTCTACGTCTGAAAAATAACTAGGGGCCATAGTCCCAGGGATTTCACCAGTCTCTAACAGAGAAGTAAGCTTGGTTGTTATTGTGATTTTGAGCTTTTGTTCCACATTTTTCTCCCACTCTATCCAGGATTTTCAATTTTGATCCCTTTCTGAGTGGTCTGTCAGTGGTAGCTAGGCACCATATAGGTCTCCTGGTCTCAGGATCTTATAAGTTGAGGTTCACATGGTTTATATTTATTTTGGTTTATATTAGTCCCTTGGACTAATTGTTTCCTTGAGTCTTTGATATTCTTCACTCTTTTTTGCTCTGGAAAAGGAAGGACCAATAGTTGCATCTAAGATGGCTGCCCACAAGCTTTTAAGACCCCAGTCACTACTTACCACAGGAGCTCTGCTGACGCAGTGGATAAGGCATCTGGCTGCTCCCCAGAAGATCAGTGGTTCAAATCTACCAGCTTCTCTTTGGAAGGAAGATGGTGTGATCTACTTCTGTAAAGATTTACAGCCTCAGGGTTGCTAGAATCAGATTTGGCTCAATGACAGTGAGTTTGGGTTTTTTTGGTATGCACTACTCACCAAGGTAGGATGTAGAAAAATGTTTTTGTGTTGTATGTTATAAAAATTAAGCTTGCTGTCCCCTGTGACCATGGTCAAGCCCATGGTTTTGAAGATAGGCTACATAATTTCTTCAAGGTAGTTGGTTGTGGCTAAGAAGTTATCATAACTTTGCCTCCTGTTAGCTCTATTATACATATGGACATTCTTATAGCACATTCAAATACATATGGAAAAATATTGTCTGCCAAGCCTATATATGGTCATGGGTATATTCCCTTTCACCTACCCATACTTGATCATTTTGCCTGTCTACCTATGTATCCACCAGAGACTGATGTTTGTTATTACTGATAATGTAGTATTTTGTACGTAAAAGTATTTGCCTTTGTTGTTTGTACCTTTAGTGCATCTCTCCATGACTTCCTCTTCTTTAGCGTTACTTGCTTTTCGTATATTGCCTTTCCTTTCACCTAAATTAAGGAGCTCTGTTGGTGTAGTGATTAAGGCGTTTGGCTGCTAACCATAAAGGTCAGTGGTTCAAACCCACCAGCCATTCCACAGAAGAAAGATGGGGCAATCTACTTCTGTGAAGATTTACAGCCTTGGAAACTCAGTGGGGGTCGTTATGAGTCAGAATTAATTAAATGGCAATGAGTTTTTGTTCACCCAAATTAATATCTGTCTTTTACTTAGCTGGCAATTTTCCCTCCCCTACCCCCAAACTTGGTAACCAACAGAGAAATTTCCTTCTGTGTGTAAACCTTTCCTTGACTTTTTACAATACTAAACTCATACAGGGAGCTCTGGTAGCGTAGTGCCTAAGGCACTTGACTGCTAACCAGAAGGCTGGCGGTTCAAACCCACCAGCCACTCCTCGGAAGGAAGATGGGGCAATCTACTTCCATAGTGATACTACTTTGGAAACCCAAGGAGGGGTTGCTATGAGTTGGGTCTGACTCCACAGCACATAACAACAACAATAACAAAGTTACAAGAGGCAGAGTTCTCTCTCTTTCTCTCTCTCTTTTTTTTCCCCTCTTTTTTAAAATTGTGGTTTGGATGAAGGTTTACAGAGCAGATTAGTTTTCAATTCAGCAATTTATACATATTTTGTTTTATAACATTAGTTGCAATTCCCTTAATGTAATAACACTCTTCCCACATCCTCCTTGTGTTCCCTATTCCCATTTGTCCTTTCTGGCCCCTTCCTGCCTTCTGAGCTTTTTTGGGGGGCAAATTCTGCCATTTTGATCTCGTATGGTTAATTGTTTTGAGGAGTATCTTCCTCATGAGGTCACTATTCACTTTACAGGCCTGTGTCTGTTGTTTGGCTGCAAGGTAATCCCTGAGGATAGGCAGAGTTCTCTTAACTAATTATCTCTTATTCTTTAGAGAATTCACTGTTTATTATTTTGCTAATGGTCGTAGTCCATCAGAGAGTTGGCATTTTATGATGATGTAATTTTTAAGGATTTATATCATTATTTCAGACAGCAGCACTGATTTCAGAATTTTGTCATAACATCATCAAAAACTGACTTCAGACTCTAAGCAATTTACCATTGAGAAATTGAGTTTTCATTCTTGTGATATCCAGATTTCTGGGTTCCATGGAGGTTGGAGTGACCCACCCAGACCTTTGCCCTGGGATGATCTTTGGACTTTGAACTTTGACAGGAATGGTTTCTTAAAGTTACCCCCGAGTCAAAGAATAGTCTAGAAAAATTGGCAAAGTTAGTTTTTGCCTTTGGCACTGAGCTCTTTTGAAGAATTATCTATGTGGTGTCAGTTTTGAGAAATGGAAACTCCAAGGTTAGACTAGATGCTGTGTTTTAGGGTAAATTGTTCTGGCCCCATTTCCATGGTACTGCCAATAAGATAGGGGTATAAGAGTCTTTGAAAGTTCTTTCTTCTTTGGAGTATTTTTCACTTGCTCATCAACATGTCACCCTGATTTGCAAATTGTATAGTAAATACAATCAATTTCTATTATTGGCTTAATATGATCTTTGTTTTAACACCATTTACAGTCTCCCTTTTCTTCTTGGTCTCTTCCTCAAACACCCACCTGTGCTGCCTCTCCAGTGTCACTTTCCCTCCCATAAGCCATCACTTTTATTTCCCATCATAGCTTTATGATCTCCTTTCCTTTATTTGCCTTTTAAAAATATAATCAATTTAAGCTTTGTTCTTTCTCCTGACTTTCTTGTTCACCTATTTCTTCATTAGCACAAATAAGGCCAAGAACTAAGAGGTATAATCATAGTTTACTCTTTAGGCAGGGGGACTATAAACACACTCCTCTTTAGGACATATTGTAAATCAAAACATCTGTGGCCCAAAGCAGCAGGTATTTATATATCTTTTCTGCTGGGAATTATAGAAGTAATTATTGGTACAATTTAGTAAAAATAGTTAAAAAAATTTTATGCTGAGAATAAAATCAAATGTTTCAAGCCACATGTGGCAATTTTAATTTATTTTTTAAATATTTTGAGCACTAGAAGATATTGTTTCATTTTATTGTATAATATTGTACAACTTAAATACCTGTCATGATTTAAAAATCATGACTTTTTAAAAATAAAAATTATAGATGATTTTAAGTAACACTTCCCCTCTCTTACCAGCTAAGAAATCTTCAAAACAAACTTCTTATAAAAGAAACTTCATTGCAAGAGATGACATGTGAGCTAGAAAGTTACAGAGAACATAATGTGAAACAGATGTTCTGGATAAGGGCCCTGAAAGATAATGTCAAGGACCTAGAGAAACTTACTGCTTCTCTAACCAGAATTAAGTCTTTGAAAAACACCGATCTTCGATCTTGGGAGTCTTAAAGAGGCAACTGGGATTTAACTGAACAAATTGTAAAACTAGAGAACCACTTAAGGTAGGGAATTTTCTAGTTATTTTCAAGCATGCCTCTTGTTATTAGCTTTCAAATAGTATATGAACTTCATACTCCTGACTGATCACAGAAATTAAATCTACTAGAATTTCATTTAATAACTAACTCAACATTATTGCATCTCATAAAAACATTTTTTCTGGAGATATATATAATTCACCCTTTGGAAGAATACAATTCAGTGCTTGCGTAACCATCACCACTGTATAATTTCAGAGCATTTTTATTATCCACCTAAAAGACCCCAACCCCATTAGCACTTCTCTCCCTCCCACCTCTTGCTCTTGGCAACCACTAATCTACTTTCCGTCTGTGTGGATTTGCCTATTCTGGGCATTTCATTTGAATGGAATCAGTCACACAATATGTTCACTTAGCATATATCAACACTTCATTCCTATTTATGACTGAATGATATTCTATTATATGAATATAGCACATTTTGTTTATCCATTCAGTTGATGGACATTTGGGTTTCCACTTTTTGACTATTATGAATAGATCTACTATGAACATTCAATTACAAGTTTTTGTGTGAATATATATTTTGATTTCTCTGTATACATCTTAGGAATGGAGTTGCTGGGTTATATAGTAATTCTATCTTTAAACTTTTGAAGAACTACCAGACTGTTTTCTAAGGCAACTGCTTCATTTTATATTCCCATCAGCAATATATGGGGGTTACAATTTCTTTGCATCCTCATGAAGACTTGTTATTGTTCTTTTTTTTTTTCTTTTTTATTATATCTATCCAGTGGGTATAACGTGGTATCTTATTGTGATTTTGATTTGATTTGTACACCTATGACTAAAGAAGGAATCCTGGTGGTGCAATGGTTAAGCACTTGGCTACTAACTGAAAGGTTGGCAGTTCAAACCAATGGCTCTGCAGGAGAAAGACCTGGTGATCTGCTTCAGTGAAGATTACAGCCAAGAAAATCCTATACAATAGTTCTACTCTGTAACACATGTTGTCGTTTGTGCCATCGAGTCGGACCTGACTCATAGCCACGCTTCCTTGGGTTTCTGAGGCAGTATCACTACGGAAGTAGATTGCTCAACCTTCCTTCCAAGGAGTGGCTGGTGGGTTTGAACTGCCAGCCTTCTGGTTAGCAGTCAAGTGCCTTAGGCACTATGCTACCAGAGCTCCCTGTTAACACATGGGGTCACCATAAATCAGAATCAACTGAATGGCAACTAACAGTAACAACAATGACTAAAGATGTTGAGCATCTTTTCATGCACTTATTGGCCATTTGTTATGTTCTTTGGAGAGATATCTATTCAGATGCTTTGCCCCCTTTTTTTGTTGATTTTGTTTTTGTTTTGATCCATGACTTAGGAGACCCCGTGTTACCCTATGTGTAGAACTGCTCCATAGGGTTTTCTTGGCTATAATCTTTATGGGAGCAGATTGCCAGGCCAGGCCTGTTTCCTCCACAATGCCATTGAGTGGGTTTGAACTGCCAATCTGTGGGTTACCAGCCAAGAGCAAACCACTTGTGCCACCAAAGGACCTTTGTCCCTGGTTATTATTATTGTTGTTATTGAATTCTAAGAGTTCTTTACATATTCTGAATATGAGACTCATCAGATACAAAAGAGTTCTGGTGGCTTAGTGCCTAAGGCATTTGACTGCTAACCAGAAGACTGGTGGTTCAAACCCACCAGCCATTCTTCGGAAGGAAGACTGGGCAATCTACTTCCATACACATACTGCCTCAGAAACCCAAGGAGGGGTTGCTGTGAGTCAGATCCAACTTGACAGCAGTGGGTTTCTGGGGTTTATCAGATACAAGATTTGTAAATATTTTCATCCAATACCTGGGTTGTCTTTTCACTTCTTAGTGGTGTACTTTTTCCATTTCTTATTTCCATCTTTCTCTGTTCTTTTACTTAATGTATATCTCTTGCAAAATGCATATCGTTAGTTTTTTAAAATTATTTATTTGTTTTTGTTGAGTATATACACAGCGAAGCATACACCAACTCAACAGTTTCTACATGTACTCTTCAGTAAACTTGATTACATTCTTTGAGTTGTGCAACCATTCTACTCTTTTTTTCCAAGTTATTCCTCCCCCATTAACACAAACTCAGTGCCACCTAAGGTTCTTATTCAATCTTTCAAGTTGCTGTTGTCAATTTGATCTCATATAGACAGTTCATAAAAGACCATAATGCTCAAGGCAGATATTTTTCACTAGTTAAGCTAAACTATTGTTTAGTTTTAAGAACTTTTAAGGGAATATTTTGGTTTAAGGTTTAAAGATTTTCTCAGGACAATAGTTTCAAGGGTTCATCCACCCTCCATGACTCTAGAAAGTCTGGAGAATATGATAATTTTAAATTATTTTCTGCATTTTCCACTTTTGATCAGGATTCTTCTATAGAATCTTTGATCAAAATGTTCAGTAATGGTAACCAGGCATTATCCAGTTCTTCTGGTCTCCATGGCAAAGGAAGCATTTGTTCATGGAGGCAATTAGATACACATTCCATTTTCTCTTCCTATTCCTGACTGTCCTTCTTCTTCTATTACTCCAGGCAAATAGAGACCAATTGTTTTGCCTTGGATTGTCACTTGCAAGCTTTGAAGACCTCAGACACTGCACAGTGAACTAGGAGATAGAACAGAAACTCTAAACACATTATTAGGCCAATTAACTGGGATGTCCCATGAAGTCATCACCCTTAAACCTCCAAACCAAGAAACCAGTCCCATGAGGTGTTTGTTTGTACATAAGTATCCTCAGCAACTACTCTTTTTGTTGTTGTTGTATCATTGTTGTTGTTAGGTGCTGTCAAGTTGGCTCCTACTCATAGTGACCCTATGTGTTACCCCATGTACATGTACAACATGTACATGTACAACAGTATGAAACACTGCCCTGTCCTGCGCCATCCTCACAATCTTTGCCATGCTTGAGCCTTTCATTGCAGCCACTATGTCTATACATCTCATTGAGGGTCTTCCCTTCTTTTGCTGACCCTCTACTTTACCAAGCTTGGTATCCCTCTTCAGGGACTGATCCCTTCTGCCAATGACCAAAATATGTGAAACATGGTCTGGCCAATCTGGCTTCTAAGGAGCAATATGGCTGCACTTCTTCCAGGACAGATTTGTTCATTCTTCTGGCAGACCATGGTATTTTCAGTATTCTTGGCCAGTACCACAATGCGAAGGCATCAACTCTTCTTCAGTCTTCCTTATTCATTGTCCAGCTTCCACATGCATACAAGGCAATTGAAAATACAATGACTTGGGTTAGGCACACATTAGTCTTCAAAGTGACATCTTCACTTCTTAACATTTTAAAGAAGTCCCTTGCAGCATATTTGCCCAGTACAATATTACATCTGATTTCTTGACTGTTGCTTCTATGGGTATTGATTGTGGATCCAAGTAAAATGAAATTTTTGACAACTTCAATCTTTTCTCCATTTATCATGATGTTGCTTATTGGTTCAGTTGTAAGATACTCATTTTCTTTATGTCAAAGTGTAATCCATACTGAAGGTTGTAGTGTTTGATCTTTATCAGTAAGTGCTTCAAGTCATCTTCATTTTCAGGAAGCAAGGTTGTGTTATCTGCCTACTACAAGTTGTTAATGAGTCTTCCCCAATCCTGATACTGTGTTCTTCTTCATATAGTCCCATTTCTCAGATTATTTGCTCAGCATACAGATTGAATGAGTATGGTGAAAGTGTACAACCCTTATGCACACCCTTCTTAATTTTAAACCATGTAGTATCCCCTTGTTCTGTTTCAATAGCTATCTCTTTTCTATGTACATGTTCCTCATAAGCACAATGAAGTGTTTTAGAATTTCCATTCTTTGCAATGTTATCTATAATTTGTTATGATCCACAGAATCAAATGCTTTTGCATAGTCAATAAAACACAGGTAAACATCATTCTGGTATTCTTTGCTTTCAGCCCAAATCCATTTGACATCAGCAATGATATTCCTTGTTCCATGTCCTCTAATGAATCCAGTTTGAATTTCTAGCAATTCCTATCAATATACTGCTGCAACTGTTTTTCAACTAATGTTCAGCAAAATTTTACCTGTGTGTGATGTGATATTACTGATATTGTTTGATAATTTCCACATTCTGTTAGATCACCTTTCTTTGGAATGGGCACAAATATTGATCTATTCTAGTGGGTTGGCCAGGTAACTGTCTTCCAAATTTCTTGGCATAAATAGTGACCACTTCCAGCACTGCACCTGTTTGTTGAAATATCTCAATGGCTATCTCATCAATTTCTGGAGCCTTGTTTTTTGAACTTCTTCCTTCAATACCATTGGTTCTTGATCACATGCTACTTCCTGAAATGTTTGACTATCAACCCATTCCTTTTGATACAATGACTTTGTGTATTCCTTCATCTTCTTTTGATGCTTCCTGCATCATTCAATATTTTGCCCATGGAATCCTTCCATATTGCAACTTGAGGCTTGAATTTTTTCCTCAGCTCTTTCAGTGTGTTCTTCCCTTTTGGTTTTCTAACTCCAAGTCTTTGCACATTTCACTATAATACTTTACTCTTTGTTCTCCAGCTGCCCTCTGAAATCTATTCAGCTCTTTTGTTTCATCATTTCTTCCATTTGCTTTAGCTACTCTATGTTCAAGAGCAAGTTTCAGTTTCCTCTGACATCCACTTCCATTTTTTCTTTCCTATCTTTTTAATGACTTTTTGCTTTCTTCGTGTATGATGTTCTTGATGTCATCCCTCAGTTCATCTGATCTTTGGTCATTGGTGTCAGTGCATGAAATCTATTTTTCCCATGGTCTCTAAATTCTGGTGTGATATAATCAATGTCATATTTTGGCTCTTGTGGACTTGTTTTAATTTTCTTCAGCTTCAACTTGAACTTGCATATGAGCAATTAATGGTCTGTTCCACAGTCCACTCTTGGTCTGGTTTTTTTAATTGTGATTTGGGTGAAGATTTACAGAG